GGATGTGTGAGTGAGAACTGTGTAGCAATTAGATTTCCTAGTTGTTTTTTTTTGTTTGTTAGCTTTGTTGGTTGGGTTTTGGGGAGATGTCTTTTGTTGGTTTTTTGTTTGTTTGTTTTACTCCTTTAGTTATGCTTTCTAGTCTCATGTTGATTTTTAACTGTTCTAGATTCTTCTGCATTAAATCATAGATGATTTGTCTAAAATGGGCAGAGGCAGTCAGCCTGACCACACTTACAGCAGTTAAATGTGTGTATACTTTCCCATTATGACTTCATCCTTTACTGTAATTGTCAAAAGAATGTTTTGTGATAAGAAATCTTTGTGCAATGCCAAGATAACAATCCAAGCTGTGGAAAAAGAACTGATCTGTAGTGTCATCCTTTTAAAGAAGGTAGATGAACAAACTTGAAGGAGCTTGCACAGTGTTCTGATGTAGCTGAAAATGTTACCAAGTTTTCTCTCATGGTATTCCTTTTATTTTTATTTCCATTAAAGAGATGGCTGTTTAAAAAGAAGTGCCATAAGAAATATGATGCAATTAAGGACCAAGAAAAAGTTGTGATTTTATTGATGGTTCTGACTACAAAATTTCTCATCAGGCTCAATGAATGCAACGAACTTGGGAGTGCTCTGACCTCCACCCCCTCGTTAGCCCACAAGAGCAGAGCTGCCTGTGGGCCACTCTTTGGCCCTGGCAGGCTGTTTAGTATACAAAAGTGGGATTTAGGGTCTTCGTGACTCCAGCAGACATTGGAGATGCCCTGGATCTGGAACCAAGCACAGAAAAGTAGGCTGCCCTTGTGAGGCTCCACCTGGAGTCCTGCATCCAGGTTTGGGGCCCCCAGCACCAGAAGGATGTGGGGCTGTTAGAGCGAGCCCAGAGGAGGGCTGCAAAGATGATCAGAGCTGAGGCTGCTCAGCCCGGAGAAGACAAGGCTCAGGGGGTGACCTCACTGTGGCCTTTCAGTACTTAAAAGATTTATAAAAAGATGGAGAAGGACTCCTTGCTCAGGTAGGTAATGATGGAACAAGGGGGAATGGTCTTAAACTAAAAGAGGATAGATTTAGATTAGACGTTAGGAGGAAATCCTTCATGATGGGAGGAAGATGGGAAACTGGTCACCAGGCTGGTCACTGTGTGCTCTGCTTCACAGCGATGGCTCGGTGACTGCGTGGATTGGCAGCTGTGGATCTCTGCAGAAGGATTCTTCTGGAGGTGGCAAAAGAGATGTTAGGCGGTTGTCTTATATCAGCACTCACTAAACAAAGGTGCCAGAAGTGGTGCTGGTTTTCTTCAAGCACTGTGCTTACACCGCCTAATGTGCCAGCCATTTTTGCTACTCACACCCAGGTAGTACATACGTATTGTTTGTATTCCACAGACCATAAAACAACCCGGTCCTCTCCTCCCCAGTCACATCCTGGGTGATGCTCTGTGCAGGGACCTATTTAGGCTGAGAAAAAGGGAAAAGTAAAACTACTTAGGGGTTAAACTGAGCTTCAAATATAGAAAAGGATGTAATTTCTTAAGGACAACACATCAGATCCCAGTATTTCATATACAGCTGGGGAAATTAGGGAGTACAAACAATTGATTCAGGGAGGGGGAACATTTCCTTTACAGCTGTGGAGTTGTTTTATGTATTGAATGGCACCAGGAGAGGAAAAACAGACCTGAAATACCTTCTTTGTGCATTGTGGGACTTCAGCAGTGACTTGTTAACAGGAAAGGGGATGGAGGGGATCTAATACTGACTAAATATGCATATATTCATGTGAACAATGCAGGAACAAATGCAGTTAATTTTATAGCGTGGCACAAAAGCTGTTTTGTGTTAGAGCTGCCTGTGATGCATGGAGGATTGTTTAGGCATTAGCACACTTCAGAGAAAAGGGAGTTTAAGGAAGGGACTTCAGCTGTAGGCCAGACCCCTACCAGGGCAGACAAAAAGATCAGGCTGCTGTGTCTGCCGTAGGAGAAATGGGTAAGTAGGACATGACTACACTTCTCACACATGATTTAGGAAGGGAAGGGCTCCAGAATATATGTGCAGGCAGCTGCTACCTGGAAGCAAAATTAAGAAGCTGAGATGACTCTTCTATGATTCTAGCTATAAATGTGCTCTTCTAAGAGAAGGGTTGAGGTGTGCAGCCTCGAAGAATGGCTTTATTCTTTCTTCAGAAGTGAACAAGCTACATATTGAGAGTTCTCGTCTAGGATGTAAACATGTCAGTCTCTGAAGGCAAGAAGATCATAAAAAAAAAACTGGAAGAGGTGATAAAGCAGTCATTGCTTGATTAATACTACTGGTTCAGCATGCAGCTTCTATTTAAGACAGACAAAAACTGAATTTGGCATCATCAGTGGGTTCCAGTAAAAAATGTTAGAAGGAGGAAATACTTTATGAACAAACAAATTTGTATGTGATGTTATGATACCGGGCCCAAATTTCAAATGCTGAGAAGAATGTATGCTGAAGGACGGTTGGAAAGAAATCCTGACAAACCTGAAATTAAGAGATGCAGCTTAATGAAAGTACTTCATGCACCCCAATCCTTCAAGTCCTGAAAAGCTTGGTATTCCTACTGCTTGCAGTAACATTTTTTTAAAGGTACCAGCTGTGTCATCACAATGTTGGGGTAGTTTTTTGCATGTGTATGATTGCCTAGCTGGGCACCTAAAATATATAAACATTGTAAATAGGTAGTAAAGTCAGTAGCTTTTCACACAATTAGCTCAGTGAGCACCTCCATCATGCAGGGCTTGTTAAGGACAACCCAGTGTCAGAGAATACATGTCAGGTGTTTGGTCTGCTTCAGTATCTGTTGGGTTTGGGGGGTTTCTTGTTGCTGCCTGAAGTTAAATTTTAAACAAAAAGGGATGCATACCATGTAATGCCCTTGTTCTTATTCAGGCTGATCCTGTGCCAGTCCCTTGTGCTGGTCCTGATTTTTCTTGAAGTATTTTTCTTTATTACAACCATAACCATATCAGCTGCAGGTCTTTCTGTGGAGTCTTCCTTGCAGAGAGGAACTTGAAGCCTTGTGCACCTTGCCCTGCAGTAACCTCGAGTCAAAGCATCGCAGGAGGAAACAAGGAGTTCATCACAAAATAACTTTTCATGCTAAAAGTATCATCTTTTTATGGTGACTGAACTTCCTTCCCTGAAGCATGTCAAAAGAAAAGATGAATGTCCAAAACCCATTTGGTCTTGACACGAAATATACGGCATTTGAAAGGTGAGCTCAGTTCGCTGGCTTTGCAGGAAGCATCTGTGCAGAAAACGTGTGAAGAGAGTGTGCAATGTACAAAACAGATGGGAATTCAAACCTGAAAAAGCCTGGAAGACTCAAATAAATGTAATTTCTACCAGTACAGAAGGACAAGTTGGAGCATTCAGTGCTGCTGTACAGTCACTTGAGCGGAAAGGAAGGATGATGGGCTAGACAAGCATTGCTTGGGGATACTGCTTTTGTCTCTAAACTGTGGCCTTGTTTTCTGCAAAGTGTTGAAATACAGAAGCAGTAGCTCTGGCTGCTACCAAGATACAAAAATGACAAATACGTGTGCAGGCCTATTGTTTGTTGGTTCTGACATCAGCCAGCCCATGTGGGGGGGCAGGGGGTTGTCAGGTTGTTTTGAACGACAGAGGAACAATCCTTATCTGCCTTATCACCAACTGTCCTGGCCCTAGGAGGGGCAGGGGTGTGCACGGTGCGGCGTGCCAGGATGTTAAGAGGAGCCCTGTTCTCTGCCTGTAGCCATGAGCCCTACAGCCGAGGTCTGCCCTGCACAAAATTCCGACCTCAACTGAAATTTGTGCTCAGCGGGGTGATGTCTGCTGGCCCCAGCCTGCGGGGAGCCTGCTGGGTGCAGGGCCTGTGTTCCCCTTGTTCATCAGGCTGCTGCTTCTCCTAGAGGAAATCTCGAACTCAAGCTGCAACCATTATGTATGTCATCTACGCGAATGCTTGCAGCTTTCTGGATGAGAACATTTCAAAATATGAAAGAACGTGACTGGAAGTGTTATCCTAACAGAATGGACTTCAGCTTAGAAGAGGCCAGCAAGGCTGGCTTGGCATGTAACAAAATACACAAAAAGGGTGCTGCGTGATGGAAAACGGCAGCTAGGGGAACAGGGACTTGCATGCAAGTGACAGGTGGCTCGACTATTGAACAGCACCTGGCTATGGCTAGTAGCCCACTGCTCCCCATGGTAGCCCCTTCACAACCGGAGACCTCCCTTGGGTGCGGCACGAGGGCCAGTTGAGCACCAACGTGGCCCCAGCTCACTGTCCCTTGAGCAATGTGTCCATTTTGCCCGTGTTAATACTGTGTTGTATTGCTTTGTAAAGCAATAGTATTGTAATGCTTTGTAAAGTTGCTGCCCTGGAGTGTGTCCAGAGAAGGGATACGGAGCTGGTGAAGGGCCTGGGGCACCAGTGCTGTGAGGAGAGGCTGAGGGCACTGGGGGGGTTTGGGCTGGGGAAGAGGAGGCTCAGGGCCGAGCTCATGGCTCTGCAGCTCCCTGAGAGGAACCAGAGGGAATGGCCTCGAGTTGTGCCAGGGGAGGTTGAGGTGGGCAATGAGGAGCCATTTCTGCTCAGACAGAGCGGGCAGGTGTTGGGACGGGTTGCCCAGGGAGGTGGGGGAGTCCCTGTCCCTGGGGGTGCTCAAGGAGAGGTTGGGGCTGGTGCTTGGGGACAGGCTCAGCGGGGACAGTGGCGGTAGGGGACGGTTGGAGCAGGTGACACTGGAGGGCTTCTCAACCATCACCCCCCTGTGCCCATTCCCCCTCTCCTCTGAGCCGGCGCCTCAGGGCTCGGGCCCCGCCCTCTCTTGGAACCGAGGCGCCGCCGCCATTTTCCCTCCGCGCCTCCCGGGGGCGCTGTGGGGGCGGCGCCGGGGCCTCGCCGCCATCCCGGCGGGGTGCGCGCGCGCCGTGCGTGCGTTTGGCGCGCGGCGGCGGAGGAGGAGGAGGAGGAGGAGGAGGAGGAGGGGAGCGGGGGCCATGGCGGGCGCGGCGGCGGCGGGCGGGCCGGGGGGCGGCGGCGGCGGAGGCAACGGCGGTGGAGGAGGAGGTGGAGGAGGAGGAGGAGGAGGGAGCGTGCCCGGCCCGGTGGCTCAGGGCCTGAAGGAGGCGCTGGTGGAGACGCTGACCGGGATCCTGTGCCCGGTGCAGGCGGTGCGCGCCGCCGCTGAGGAGCAGGTGAAGGTGCTGGAGGTGACGGAGGGTGAGTGCGGGGCGGCGGCCACCGGGAACCGGGGCTGCGGGGAGGGGAGGGGCCGGGCCTTGGCCCCAAGCGGGGCCCTGCGGGAAGCGCCGCCTGCATGGAGCGGAGCCCCCGCGGCCGCCCCGCCTCCTGCAGAGCCCCCCCGGCACCGGGGAGAGGAGAGGAGGGGACGGGGAGCACCGGGGGGGCCCGGACCCGGTGCCTCCCTCCCTGGGTACCGCTGTCCTGGGTTCCCTTGGTGCCTCTCTGTGGGCTGTGCCCCTGCCCGGTCCCTGTTGCTGACCCGGTCCCTGGGTGCTGAGGCCGGGCCCTGGCTCTCGGGATGGAGCTGACACGAGAGGCCCCGGTGCCTGACAGCCCCCGCTCCTTTGGCTCCTTTTGGTGGGGTCACCGAGGCAGGTTGTGTGCTCCATGCTTTTGCAAACCGTGCTTAAAATATGCTGCCGGTGTTCAGGGTTTGCTTCACGTCAGCTCAGATTCGGTGACCTGACCCCAAGGGCTGAAAGGCGTGGAAGGCACTGGAAGGTCTGCGAGGAGTCCTGCAGGCGGTGAGGGCACGGAGCTGCATCCTGGGCTCCTCAGCGGGGTCCTGGTGCCTCCTGCACGCTTCACCTCACCTCCCGTCGGATTTTGGTGTTCTGGGAGGCGCTTTAAACTCTTTCTGCTCCTCAGCTTGAGCTCAGACGCGTTATCAAAAGCAATTTATGGTAAAGAGAAGGAAGGCGTAAGGGTGTGCCTGGCTCCCGAACAGTGTTGTGATTGCCCTGGGTGAAAGCGGGGCGATGAAAGGAAGGCAAATTGCTTGATAAAAACATATCTGGTTATACAGCCCCTTATTATTCGTTGTAACACTCTCAGGTCGAGTCTTCCTTGGTTCATTAGGAGCAAATTTGTTTGTTTCTGCTGCAGCTGGTGGAGGTTTAAGGGTGGCAGCGCAATAGTATGAGCTTGTTGTCAGTGTGTTCTTCAGTGGCAGCTTTCTTCTTTCCTGGCAGTCTGAATATTACCACAAGACATCAAAGCAAGTTTGTGTAATGGTTTGAGTACCAGGTTTCCAGAAAACACTACTTTTTGTGGGCTGTAGGTGACGGATGCCCAGGAACACAACAGGACTACATCTGGTCAGGACCATTTAGGGTAAGAGGAACGGAGTCAGCTTTGCCTTCTCTTTTTCACAGCTTTGCAAATATCCTCGTCATAGAGTAGCAGAATGCTCCAGGTTGGAAGGGCCCTTAAAGATCACCCACTTCCAACAGCCCTGCCTTGGACAGAGATGCCACCCACTAGATCAGGTTGCCCAGGGCCTCGTCCAACCCGGCCTTGAGCAGCTCCAGGGATGGTAGCCCCAAGAGGCTGTGGATGCCCCAACACTTCTCTGCTTTCAACTCCCAGAGCCACGGGGCTTTACTGCGGGACTTGTCCTGTTTAACAGCTTTACCTGTGGCCCGGAGAAGGGTACTGAGGACACGCTCGTGGAGTTTGCAGGTGACACCAGTTTTGTCCCCCACCCAGAACAAGAAAGCAGTAAAAGGGAGTGAGTTCTGCTCCTCCTCCTGGCTTTTACATGGAAAACATAGCTTATTCCTCCCGTGCTGCTTGACTGTGACAAGAGAGGAGTAACCAAGGAAGCACAGAATGATGCGGAGAAGGGACCTCAGGAGGTCTCCAGCACTTCTGATGAAAGCAGCACCAGCAATATCAGAACAGGTTGCTCAGAGCATTTCCTAGTCAGGTCCTGGAGCGCAGGGCTTGCCAGCAGCAGGTCAGTGAGGGGAAGAAGTGTGGGTTATGTAGGTCAGAAGTGCTTTAAAGAAACCAGGAACATGCTGTCATCAAGCAGGCTAAAGAAGATGCTGAAAGTAAAACCAAAGGCAATAGGAAAGGACATAGGTGTTGGCACTTTTGATGAAAAATAAATAAGTCAGGAGCTGGAACAAGTAGAATTGGGTACAGCTCTGTTTGTGGCAGAGCTGATCTGTGCATGATGGAAGAGCTGCTTGAAGGAGTCCTGGGACTGCAAGAAAGCTTTTAGAAAAGTCCCTTACAGAAACTTTTTGAAGAAACCAAGCTGCTGCGGACAGCCCTTGAGTTAATAACTGATTAAAAGCTTGAAGACGAGAAGCAGAAGAGCCTGGTTGTGTTCTACACTGCATGGAGAGGATAAGAAGTCCCGCACAGAGCTGTGCTTCTCAGCACATCCCTAACGGCGCGCAGAACAGCGAGCAGTGATGTGACCAAGGTGCCGGTGGTACCGAGCTGTTTGGTTTGGCTCGCCTAAAAATTGGTGGCAAAAACCACAGAGGGATTTCACAGGAGGGAGCCGAGTGGTGGGGTGTGCAAATGGGAGGTGTAAGGTGGTGCTGATCAGTGAGGAGGAGGAGGCAGCCCCAGCGATGCCTCAAGAAGTGCTGGGGATGTTCAGCCCTGCCCATGGGTGTTGGGGTCTGCTCTGCACAGGCACGGCCCTGCTGCAGCCTGGCTCAGCGCTGCCCTGGAGCAGCATGGGGCTGGCGTGAACTGCTGATGCTCTAGGGGAACCTTGGTTGTGGAGGAGCTGGAGAGCAGGAGATCGTTAAAAGCAAGGTTGATGGAGAGGAGCTGGGAGGAACTGGGTTTGCTAAATGCTCCCTGTAACGGGCCTTTCGTTACGAGTTTCTGAGCTTTTGGTTTTACAGACTTAGGAGGAAGACTTCATGTTTCTGGTGTGTCAGATCCGCAGCACATAAGCGGGGGAAGCGCTTAGGAAGAGGCACATTTCAATTGCAGTTACCCTCGACGGAGACAGAAAGTTCCCAGTCAACTGGAAAAACCCAATAATGAACCAATTCTTTGAAAACTGAGGAGCCAGTGAGCTATGCAGCACTCGGTGTCGTTTCAGTCCCTAGAGGGATTCTTGGAACAGCTCATTAAGCAGCTGGCTAACTAGGTGCTGCGCGGCTCGTACAGCTTTATACGATATGTTCTTGATAAATCCGTCTGCTTTGTTTGATGGAAGGGACGGCTTGCTGCTTAAGGAAACTGCCACGGGGGATGATAAGAGTTTGGTAAGATTTGTGAGGCGATTAGCCTCAGCCTTTGTTGCTATCAAGGAAAACACACCGGTCTGAGGTACCCTAAAATGCACCGCTGGTGCAGGTTGGAAAATGACAGATTGAGAGATGTCATTAGTGTGACTGTTTTGCCTTCAACTGTGTGAAGCCGTGGTATTTATTCTGGCTTCTTAGTTCACTTACACCCTTTAAAATGTGCCTGATGTTCAGTGCTGCGTTGGGGTCTGGAATATGCTGTGGTTGAGAGGAGTGTGATGTCAAGAACATCTCAGGATGGGTCTCCCTGCTTTTGCAGCTGGGATAAGAGTGATTTTTTTTTCTTTTTCCTTTTTAAAATGCATGATCTGTTGAAGGAACTGGGTTTGTTTGGTGTAAGCACGGGAAGGTGAGGGGCAATTCTCTCCCCAGCCAGAAAAGCGAGTGAGGTGCTTATTAGGAGGACCACAGGATGACCACGTTTGTGCAGTACTTGGATATGTTGCTGACGAAGGTTGCAGGACTCTTTGAGAAGACTTTTCAATCTGTTTTGGCCAGGGATGCTTTAAGCACATTTAGTCCTGTCCGTGGGAGTCCGGTGGTGCTGGCTGGACCGTGGGACATCCCTTCTGCTCTCCACTTTCTGGAACTGAAACCACAAATGCATTTCTTAAGTAGGTGAATGAAATTAAACGAAGCATTTAGTACAGTTATCCCAGAGCTTGAAGTTGTGATTTAAAGGACGTTTATTGAGGCATGTGGATTTACCATCCCAACAGCTGCTCTTACTTATTGGTGTGAGCATTTCAGTTTTGCCCTTGCTGTAGAACTTGCTTGGGCACCACGAGCATCCTGTGCATTTTCCAGACAAAAAAACCTTAGCAGCAAACTTCCTGCAGCCCTGGATCCTGCTGCTGGTGCAGGTTTGTGCCCATGGGACAGCCCCAGTGATGCCCCTGCTCCAGGTGGCTGCTTGCTTCTTGCTCCCTTCTGGACCCCATCCCTGTATCCCCCGTGTGGGGCCATGCCTAGTGACATTTTGTTGTAGGCAAGGTAGTTTTTGTAAAGATTCTAAATCATTTGCTTGTTATTAACCTGGCTTGCAAAATTTTTGCCCTTGAGAGAAAGAAATGAGATGCTGAGAAAATAAATGGAGTTTGTGCAGAGAACGCAAGGGAGAATTAACGCTGGTGATTCATGTGAGAAGCTGTACTTTGGAATTGTCTTCTCCTTCCCACATATGAGTCATTCAATCGGTATTACCTCTTTCTCCAAAAATCCTGATGAGTTTTGCTGTGTGGGAATAAAAGCTACGATACAACCTTTTTTTCTTTTTAATATTGCAGAATTCGGTGTTCATTTAGCAGAACTGACTGTGGATCCTCAGGGTGCCCTGGCCATCCGTCAGGTGAGTTTACCCAAAACTGGAAAAAATCAGTTCCACAGTAATTTCCTTGCTTTGTAGAATGTCCTATGGCATTTCCAGGTGGAGAATTGAAGGTAGTTTTTCATCATCGTTCTCCATTTATGATTAAATTCCTGCAGAATTGTCACTTTCTCTTTCAATATATCCAGATGTCGTAAGCTTTCCTTTTTTGAAGCTGGTGCTTTTTGGACTCGGTCAACCTGGTGCTGGGAGGGCAGCGTGCTGGGTGTGGGCACGTGGGGAGCCTGGTGGGTGGGCAGCAGGCATCAGCAAGCAGAAGTGCAGCCTGTCTTCACAGGTCATTGTGCAGGTGTTTTCCTCCTCAAAAAGGAGGTTTGGGCTCTGTATTTCTGTGCTTACCACGTGGCCATGTCTCATGCCTTCTTAGGGGTGAGAAAATAAAGCTGTCATCTTGTGTCAGTACTGTACAGGCCATCATTGTGCACGAAACAACCATCAGGTCATCTTATTGCAGGGGGCTTTTTCTCCATTTCTCGATGATTTTTGCATTTTGACAAGGGCTGTCACCCCTCCAAAAGCAGCACATGGGATGGAAGGCTGAGCAAATGGGGCAGGGGTAATCCTGGCCGTGGTTGCAGGATTTGTTTCTGACTTGTGACCTCTCTTCTAATACAGCTAGCATCTGTCATTTTGAAACAGTATGTGGAAACTCATTGGTGTTCTCAGTCAGAAAAGTTCAGACCTCCAGAGACCACAGAAAGGGTAAGATTTGACTCCACGTTGTCTACTTCAAGATGTTTTATCCATCAAGGGTATTAACTCTGTAGTTGGCTTTAAAAGTGTCATTGCTCTTGTGTGTTACAAGAGATTAATGACTCCAGTTAAGGTTTTCTGACATTTTCCACTTCAAAAATGCATTTTCAGTCGCTTGAAACCATGATAGGCTAAGGATACTTGGGCTGATTTCTGTAAGAGAAGCTCAACCATAATGTTGCTGTCATTCTGAGAGTAAAACTAAAGGAAACCTGCTTTGAAAGTTTTAAAATTCTGGCAGTCTTTTATTCAGGTATTTGCTGGATCCTGTGTTTTCCAGCTTGGGACTTGCAGGCTACTTTCCCATGACAAATTTCAGTTGAAAGGTCTGCTGGGTTTCATTCAAAATCTGTTCAGTAGAAATATCTACTAGTTAAAATGGTCAAAGTTTCCAGCCCTTTGACTGTTGGCTAGACCATCCTTCACATCTAGGGTATGATTCATCCCACCCAGAGATGGTTCCTTGAACCAGATCCTGTGAATTATGCCCCAGAAGTGCTGGCTTGATTTCTTCTGTCCCTGCAGGGTTGGGTGACTAGTTCTGCTGTACCAAATCTTCCAAAGTAAGCAAACATAGTCCCTGACATCGGAACTGCCAATTATCTTAACTAACCCTGGATGTCTTCCATCCATATCTACATCCCATCTAATTGCAGCTGGGAGCTGGGAAAGGCTGTTTACTGTTTGCTTGGCCGACTGCTCTGCATGAAGAGAGGGGTACTTTACAACATGCCCTGCAGTCTTCCATTAAAAAAAAATACAGTGCAAACTTTTGTTATCTCATGAGTGTTCATTTTGTAAAACTGATGTCAATTCAGCATCAGGAGATGCTCATAGGTATATAGAAGTCTATATATTTTCAAATTCCCTTGTGTTTGAGGATGTGTTTTGCTAACTAATGTTATTTTCTACAGGCAAAAGTTGCAATTAGGGAGCTCCTACCCAACGGGCTGAGAGAATCGATCAGCAAAGTGCGCTCGAGCGTTGCCTATGCAGTGTCAGCAATCGCCCACTGGGACTGGCCTGAAGCCTGGCCCGAGCTGTTCAGCCTCTTGATGGAGATGCTGGTTAGTGGGGATGTGAACGCAGTGCACGGAGCCATGAGAGTGCTTACAGGTACGTGTATGTGAGAGCGTGAGACCTTTCTGCTGGCCTTTAGGGATTACCATTATGTAGGCCAGACAAAACTGGTCTAGTCAAGTAGAAATCAGTGTTTCTGATGTCTTTAGTCTTTCCCAGAAATGCTCCGTTTTGTTGCTACAAATTTGTTTTCCTACAAGAACTTAGCTCTGTTTTTCCACCTTCTAGAGTTCACACGAGAAGTGACAGACACACAGATGCCGCATGTTGCTCCTGTCATTCTTCCAGAGATGTACAAAATTTTCACAATGGCTGAGGTACGATCTTCACCATTAAGTTGGTACTGAATTGTTTTAGTGGGGATGTTCCTTGGAGCACAGAAACACCAGGTTTAACGGTTAAACTATGACACAGTAAGAGTTAGACTTAGAGTTTTCTCAATGCTGTGGTAATTCATGAGAGCTAACGTTTCAATAGAACTTTTGAAGCTAGTAATAAAAGGGAATAAAAGCAAAAAAAAATACAATTAAAAGAAAAAAATGAAGGATAACTTAAAATTGACATATCTCATGTTCCTGATCTATTGGCATTTTTTTCTAGGTGTATGGTATTCGCACAAGGTCACGTGCAGTGGAGATATTTACCACGTGCGCCCACATGATCTGTAACATGGAGGAGCTGGAAAAGGCAAGAGTGAAACATCCCCTACAGCATACATTGAATTCAAACTGAGCAAGGCTTTAAATAATTGTTAATAATGAAAATGAAACACCTGGGGAATTATATGCCATCAGCTGTAATTCTGGGGGAGAGGGTGTAATTTAATACATGCAAAGTGGCTCGCTCCCTCATCTACATGCATGCCTTGAAACTGTGACTTGGTTTCCTTAACTAAGTTTAACGTGTGACAGATCAACAGATAAGCACGTGAGAGCTCAGAGAAGGGGAGCTAGTGTGGGGAGGAGATGGTGCATCACCCCTGTGGTTGGAAATCCCAGTTGCCAGGTGGACGGTGTGTCTTAACTAAACTCCACACCTGGGCAGTCTGGGTTTTGATAGCTGGTTTTCTGGCCCTCCCATTAGGCGTTGGTTACAAGCTCCTGCTACTTAATCGATTGCTCCAACATACATCAGCTCTTTGTTCCCGAAGGGGCAATGGAAGCCAAACAAAAATTTTAGGATAGCAGTTAAGATAAAAAGCACTCCCCAGGCACTGAATAGCTCTTTCCAATTTTTGGGAGATGGGAACAACTTCTTCTAGCATCTGGTTTTCTTGAGTCTGTGCTGAGTGTCTCTCTCTGCTGTTTCCTTCCTGTTTGCACAGGGAGGAATTCAGTCCAGGCTTTTGGGAAGTTTTGATAACCACAGGGTATCTCTGCTGCACTGACAAAGTTACTTACGCAACACCATATAGCCACTGGTACCAGTCTTTTTTCGCTCCCCACTGCCTTATTCTAGAGGGGGGCTAAAAGTGTCCTTTACATTATATAAAAAAAAAAAAATTCAGGTCAAATTTGAGACACGTACGAGGAGAGGTAATCCTTGTATAAATTGCTAACGCGGTATTTTGTAGTTAATTTAAACATACGTCTTAGCTGTCTTAGATAAGGAGTTATAATGAAAATTCTCAATAAAAATATTTTTGTCCACTATTACTTGCTCGGCCAAGGAGTGCTTTGACATCTGGAAAAATACTTCCTGCATTTTCTTAGGAAGAATCATCCCAGTAATCTTGAGGCCAGCTGTTGGTACTCGGCTCAGAAGGAGCTTGTTTGGTTTGTGGGAGGGTGGCTCAAAAGAGAGATAAATGCTGTCCTCAGGGCTCAGCGTTAATGTTGTGTGAGCTGCTCACCCTGGGTCGTCTTTGTGGTCGGGGGGCCTGGGCAGGAGGGTGCAGGGGGTGATTCATCTAATCAGGTGGAGGTGCCTGCTTCAGGAGGACGTGTGCTGCTCCTGAGATTCCTGGCTGGCTTGTCTGGGTCTCTGTTTAGAGTCTGAGGTGAATGGCTTCGAGGCAGGTGCGTGCTTTGTAGCAGTCTGGGCCATGTGGGTTTGAAGGTGGGATTCAGCTGAGATCAGTTCCCAGCACAAGGAGAGAGCCTAAGAGACATCTGAAACAAGTGGCACTGTAACTGCCTTCTGCAGTTGTCGTGAGTCCCTCTGGGTTTGTAGCAGGAAAACACAATTTCTCTTATTTCTGGTGCTTTCCTTGTCAGACGGGAGATCTCTGCCTTGAATTGACCTGTGCTTGCACTGATTTTTACCAGGGTGCTGCCAAAGTCCTGATTTTTCCTGTGGTGCAGCAGTTCACAGAGGCTTTCGTTCAGGCCCTGCAAATGCCTGATGGACCCACATCAGACAGTGGATTTAAGATGGAAGTCTTAAAGGTAAGTCAGTTAAGACTGATTCAATAACAATCAAATACAACTACACTGTCAGGTGTGCTGGAAAACTGAGAAACTTGAGCGTGCATCACCTCTCCTGGTACTGCTTGTCTTAGGAAACACAAAGGGTTTTGTTTTGGCTCCCAGTGCCATACAACGTTGAAATAATTCTGCCTGTAGTGTAGATGCCTGCAAGATCCATAAGGATGTGTGTCTTTGTTGATTACTGGTCTGAGACACCTTGCATGCATTGTTTGGACCCTGCTCAGTGGTTACAGTTCTGTCTGTCCTAAAGCTGCTGCAGAATTCTGCTGCAATGAGGATTTGGGAGCTTGTTTTGTGTAGGTGCTTTTCTAGAACTTGCCCACTCTTTAATACTAAATTATCTCTGCAAAATGGAGTTGGAAGGTCTTTGTATTCTCTCAGTTTCCTTGCAAGAGAAGGGAAAGTGGGTTGCAGAGCTGTGTGTGTGTGTAGCTCGCTGCCTGGGGACGAGAGTGCCAGTGTAGGCACGGTGAGCCCTTCAGCTGCTGGGGGAGCACTGGACTTGTAGGGTCTGCTGCCTGCAACGTGGGAAAGAAAAGAGGAGCTCAGAAACAGAAGTTGCAGAATCAAATCCAGGTTTTCATTTACTTGCATGTGTGCTGGGGTAAGGTGCTTGGGTCACAGGGTACAGGTTTATGAACCCATTCAGCCATGCTCCTGAAGAAAACAATAAGGAAGAGTTACTGAAAAGAAGCATCACGTTTTTCATAATTATTAGCTTTACACTGGAGCCATGAAAATAAGCGCTGGGAGCTGCGGGAGGACACTATTGTATTATACAAACTAGCAGCTATTAAGGTCTGTGTTGTTGGACTTGTTTTCATAGTGCTGCTAAAGGCAGATGTCCCCTGGTGCAGCATCCTATCGCTTCCCCTCCTATTGCCTTTCCTCAGTAAGGCTGCAGGTTTTGTGTACTGGAAACAGGAGGAGCACGTTCCTCACTGTGCAGCACCAAATGGAAGGGAGTTTGGGCTGGGATGTTGGCAGGGTTTGTTGAGAGTGTCTCCTGTGGTGGTTTTGCCTTCGTTATGAGAAGTTCATGGTTCATGCTGCTGTTGTCTCCGTTGGCTGTGCAGAACAGCAAAGCTAACATAAAGGGAGTGCTCTGGGATACTCCGCAGCGTAACCTCTGAACAGGCTCCAGCTCAAGAATTTGTGAGTCTCTGATTCCAGATCCTCGGGTTGGGATTTTTAATAGTAGAGAAAGCTTTCAGCCTACACTGAAAGCACTTGTGGTTGGTAGTTTGACTGCAAGCGTAGACCAGTCCTTCTCTTCACATTACTTTCATACATTCTGCATCAGGCTGGAGCCTTTGTTGTTATTTCCTTAACTTTTTACAGGAACTAGAGCTATTTCTACTTTGCCTGCACTGACATACAGCAGGAATCTCTTGTAAGATGTGGCAAGCTGGGAAAGTATTTGAGAAAATGTCATCGTGTTCTTGCTCTGTTCCTTAGTTGTGTGTGGGCATCTGCTTTTGGCCGTTGTTGGGTACAGGTGCAGCACTTGGATCTGAATACACTGCTCTCACGTTGGGTGGTATTGATGGCAGCAGAAAATCAGTACAGATTTAAACAGTAAATTTTGGAGATCGTCTGCTGACGGGTGGTTTGTGGCAGGCTTTTTGTGAGGAGATGAGTGTTCTGGCTGTTGGCTCAGGGCAATTCATGATCTTGTCACTTAGGGTTTCTAAGCTAATGATACCAATTTTCTGAGGCAAAAGGGATTTGAGTGTAAGACCAATGAATCGCCTTTCATTCTAGGAAAGTGTATTTTATAGTCATTGTAATGTAGAAGTGAGAGACCTCAAGAGATCAGTTAAGCCAGCGCTACAGATGAGATCACTATAGGAACCCCTTGAAATGCAGATGCAATTGGAGAGGGAATCGAGACTTTTTTTGGTAATAAATTTTCAACCAGATGCAAACTCAATCTTTTTTTTTTTCCTTCCCTCAGTGTAAGTGCTAGGAAGCAAATGACGGGAAGATTTTTTTTTCTTTCCTATCTCTTGAGAGCCGTGTACTCCAAGGTGCATGGAAATCTCAGGGGAAATCAGAGGCAGCACTGACCTAAAATGTACTTTTCATCTAAGAACATTATGCAGGGCAGTGTCAAAAACTTTTCTGAATTCTGCTGAAGTGTACACATCTGCCTGATCCCATAGGGCAGTTACCCAGTTTAAGAAAGTTAAGTAGGTTGGATGGCACTGGGGTGAGACCACTGTTTGTTCATTTGTCCCAAATCTTTCCAAGTGTAGTTACGGGTTCAGAATAAGTTATCAGCAGGAAAGTGCCCTTAAGCCTCGTAGGGTGTGGAGAAGGTTTGGCCAGAACAAAAATATTTTCAACCGTGAAGACCAGAACAAAATACCCGTAGTGTAGTTCATTGCTTTGTTATTTGGTATTTGATCATGAATTAAATTGCTGCCTTTGAGGCTCGAGGATCTGCAGCTCCATGATCCTTGCATCCCAGTTCTGATGTTGTTGTTGAACGTGCCGCTGCTGATTGTTTTGAGAGAAACAGAGTAATTAAACATGACAAGTAATAGAGTTGAGGCAAATTTCATAACATGGGAATACAGATATAATTACTGCATACCAAATAAATCCTATCAAGAGCACCAATTAACCAAGAGTCTAAAGCATCTGACAACCTTGCTGTAGTGCTGCGTATGTGTAAAATTTGCTCTTTTGACACCTGTTGGGTATGAAAACTCATGCTCACGCTTCTCCTGCTGTTTGAACAGGTAATTAGGTACAAAAACTAATTAATCACAACTTGTTTGTTCTAACATGGAAGACAAAGTTGTAGTCAGTTGTTTGGAGGCAAATTTCTTCAGCTTATGAGCAAAGGACATGAAGTGCACCTGCTGCACTTGAGCTGAACATTCAGCTCTCCTGCTGCTGGGGAGCTGTGCGAAGCTTTTATCCACACCTTTGGGATTCCTTCTAAAGAAGCAAGTGGGATTTGAAGGAAGCAAAAGAAAGGGCTTTAATGCAGAGCTGTTAGACGTGATTTTAAAGAGATGCTGAACAATTAGCTGAGATAGAGTTGGCTGTTGGCTGGCAGAGTGGCTGGAAGGGGTTAAGGAGCTGCCTTGCTGCACCCTGGTGGTGATGGTGGTGATGTCTGAGTCCCTGCAGTGACTCTGGCTGCAGGTGTGGGTGCAGCCAGTTGCTGCCTGGCTTGGCTCTAACTTCTCCGCAGGGCTGCTCGCAGTGAGTTCTTCTCCCAGCCGGTCCTCATGTCCGGGATTGCCCCAGCCCAAGTGCAGCACCTTGCACCTGGACTTGTTGAACCTCATGAGGTTCACGTGGGCCCACTTCTGCCCAGGTCCCTTTGGATGGCATCCCTTCCTTCTGCTGTATGCACTGCACCACCCAGCTTGGTGTCATCTGCAAATTCGCCCAGGGTGCACTTGGTCCCACTGTCTGTGTTGTTGATAAAGGTATTAAACAACACCGGTCCCAGGACAGACCCCTGAGGGACACGGCCCATCACCATCGCCCTAACCTTATCTCCATTAATGTGCCCAATGCTTCAGAAAAAATCTAGAAAAACTGTTGAGTGGCAGCAAGGCTTTGGATTATCTCAGTTGTTAATGAAAGTGCAGCTTGTGAGCTGTGTGTTTTGATGGTCATACCTGGTTGCCCTTCTGATTGATGTTTTTCTTTCTTTCCAGGCTGTGACAGCACTGGTGAAGAACTACCCGAAGCACATGGTTTCGTCGATGCAGCAGATCCTGCCCATCGTCTGGAATACCCTTACAGAAAGTGCTGCCTTATATCCTTTGCAGTGAATGGTTTTAACTCGATTAGACCAAGACAAACTGTCTCCTACGCCACGAGGACCAGAACTACAAGTCTGTTGGATAGATTTATGGGATATCTGTTATTTAGTAGGCTCCATAAAGTTTCTTTTGGCTTAAGTCAACTCTGAATGATGCGAGCACCAACAGTAGGCTATAGAATTGTGGCCAATCTGCAGTATTTCTGGTACTATTCACTGAAAATTACCTTCTTAGAAAGTTGTCCCAGGTTGGATGAGGCCCTGGGCAACCTGATTTAGTGGGTGACATCCCTGCCCATAGCAGGGTGGTCTTTAAGGTCCCTTCCAACCCAAGCTGCCCAATGATTCTAGGTCTAGTCACAATGTAAAGACTTTAAAGAAGAATCTACAGTATCCCTTGCTGCAGCAGTACGAATGAGTGGTTATGCTTGCTGCAGAAGTTGAATTTGATTTGCATTTTGAATGTTATCACTTAGTCATTACTTTGCAGCACAATCTGCTATGTTAAAGAGGCATTCTGTTGGTAGTTTTCCCAGGACGTGCAAACCGACAAGTCAAAGCTTTCCATATTGTTAATCCAGAAGTTGCTGGTTTAGCTTTTTGTAGCGAGGCAGTAAGTTAGAGAATACTGAGCCTTCTTGTAGCTTTTTGTGAACTTTCTGAATTGGCACCAGGACTGGGCAGTGTGTTGCAGTAATAACACAAGGGTTGATTTCATTTTTCCTTTGTAATCTAACAAGCATGGCTGTTCAAGAGAGCACAGATCTAGACCTTTTCATACCAAAGTTGCCTGGACAGTCTTTCGTTTCACAATCCTACTGCATTTTTTTAAAGACACCTGTTAAAACACAAGGAGCTGTTTGCTAAATTGCTGATAATGTATTTCTTCCCCTCCTGTCCTGACTCCCACTGCAGTTCTGCTGGCAGCTGAGCTGACAAAATAGTTTTTGTTTGCAAAAGGGGAGTCTCGTCCTTCCTTCCCTTGGGTTTACTCTGGCATGTGTTGGATCTGTCAGCTCACTATCCCAGAAGAATCCTCCTTCCTCTCCGCTCCCAGGTTAGTTTTCTGCCACCTCCCAGTGCAGGAGCAGAGCCAGCACCAGGCAGCATGTGGGAGCACATCGTGGCTCCTCACCCTCAGCAGCCCTGAAGTCTAGAATTGGCTCCTTGTCCCCTGGGAAGGTTGAGTCTGAGTGGTTCCATTCTGGCAAAGTTTAAATATAGGTGAAGTTTTGGGTTACCTTGGAGGATTTGGTTTACATGTATCAAATTATCTTGGGGATCTGTCAGGTGATGGAGAAATGGTCTCTGAAGCTGGGCAGTGGACAAAGTCAGGAACTCCCGTGGCTTGTCTTCCGTTTGAAGCACAAGAGTGTGTGCAAGTCAATGTTTTGTAAGAAAGAAAACATCTCAATTAATGGGAATTTTAATTCTTAAGTAGATGCAGCTCCTCAGAAACACGCATGTTTGCTTAACTCCATCTACTTATGTGAGAACAGAAGTAAATTATACGGAGGAGGTGGAGGATCCTGTGGATTCTGATGGTAAGAACTTGTTCAACTGCACTTCTGCACTCTCATATGAAGAGGAATGGACTTACCTAAATACTACTGTTGCCAAAACAGTTGCAGAAACACCTTAGGAGTTTGTGATAATGTACATTTACGCTGTTACGACACCATCCATCACTTCTTTCCAAGTTTCATTTGACTGTGATCAATGAAGCTGCATAATTTAAGGTTTCTAATGACTCAAGGAGTGAGGTTTACAGCAATTTTGAGGTAAACGTAATGGGACAAAAGAAAACCGAACAGGTTTTAGGTTGGGCTTGATCATTTTTAATGAGGGGTGTGCAGTGATGTGGGAAAAGAGCAGAAAGTGATGAGGTCAGACATCCTCCTGGGGCTGCTGCTGTCCTAGCTAGTACAGGAGTAAGAATAAACATCACCCCGCCAGACAGCCTAACAGTCTGTAATTATATTTGGCACCCATTTTTACCTTTCTCTGTGTTAGCATATTCAGTCACGTTGCTTTTTTCACTTTCTTCTTTTTTCAGGTGAAGTATTGGGATTTGAAAATCTGGTGTTCAGCATATTTGAATTTGTTCATGCCTTGTTGGAAAACAACAAATTTAAGAGCACGGTGAAGAAGGCTTTGCCAGAGCTGATTTATTACATCCTCCTTTACATGCAGATCACAGAGGAGCAGGTGAGCATGTTTTTCTTGTGTAGGAAGCAAATGAGATAGGAGATTTAAAACAGTTAATGTCCTAGAAAGTGTTTCAGTGAATGGAAGCTGCTGTAATCTAATAGGCTGTTCTGTCAATTTGCTGTGCCAGGAATTAGGGCAGTAGCATCCAGATGTTCCTACAGAGTATAATGTGGACAGCAGAAGAAGGAATATGCTGTGAAAATGAGGATTATTATGCTGAAAGGGATAGCCAGGTTTCTGTGATAGTGAAGGGATTGTGTGGGTAGCATGAAATAATGTTTACTGAAATTCTTCATGCCTTCTGGCCTCCCAAGCCTGTGAGCCATCTTCTGCTTCTCTTGTTTAGGCAGGCATGCATAAAAACAGGCACTCTGTTAAAGATTCATCTGCTTCTCCCGTTCCTCATCTATAAATAAAGCCATGTAGCATTGATTCCAGGTCAGTCATTAGTTTGTCAAATTCTGATTTCAAATGAGGAGCAGTAGAGCAAGGTGAATGCAGTACGGAGCAGGCCTCCTCTTTTCAAAGGTTTCTCCGATAGAATATGAGAAAAATCAGCTACAGAAAATGACAGAGAAAGTAGTTTTGGCAAAAGTTAGGTTACTGGGAACAGAAAAGCTGTCTTTTACACTTGTTCTTCTGAATTTGGTATTCACCGTGTCCTTCTTGTCTCCTTTCTGTTGCAGATAAAAGTTTGGACTGCAAATCCACAACAGTTTGTGGAGGATGAAGATGATGATACTTTTTCATATACTGTGAGGATTGCCGCACAAGATCTCTTGCTGGTAGGAAAGGTGTTCCACATTTAGAAGCAGCCAAAATAACAATAATAATGAATTTAGCTTTATGTGGGGCATTTGGAGAAAAGTCCAACTTCTTAGAGTCTGTGCAATTAAACATTATTATTTCCTTCTGTGCAGGCTGTGGCTGCTGATTTCCAGAATGAGAGTGCCACTGCTTTGGCTGCAGCAGCTACCAGGCATCTGCAGGAAGCTGAGCAGGCTAAAAACAACGGTGCTGAGCACTGGTAAGGAGATGGGGCAGCAGGGAGTGACAGTGATAAAAGTGGCAGGCTGTTTTGGAGCGCTGAGTGCAGCACAAGTCAATCACGTTTTCTTCTTGTGGCATTACTGCTGATGGGCAAGGATTGCATTTGGGGACTTCTAAGAAGAAGAAATAGGAAGTACAGCAGCTCTCAGACCAGATACTGAAGTCTTCATGTGGCAGAGTTTCAGCCACTCCTAGCACAAGCTATCTGTCCCAGGCTCCCTGCCTCCAGGTCCTGACAGTTCCCTGAAACGTGTCATTGGAAGCTGTTATTGGTTATATGTGATCTGAAGAGATGTTGACAGTACCTTCACTTTCTGTTCAGTTAAATGGGCTCAGAATTTCAGGCATATCTTTTGTTTTTTGTTTTTAGTGATGTAGAGAGGAGATTTAGGTGCTATATGCAAATACGTATGTTCAATTTGAGAACTTTGAAGTCACAATTTTTAATATTACCTGGGGATAGGAAAACACTCAGTTGAAAGAAGACCTGATTGCTGTTCCAGAACTGTTCTCTCTTGGTTTTACAGTGCAGTAGTTCAGTGTTTGTGTTGGTCTGAAGATCAGTGCCAGAATAGCCACTCTGTATAGTGAGCAGCAACTGAACGCCTGAGCAGTCAGACATGAGTCCCTGTCTGTCTTGAATGTGATAAATTGTAAAGGAGGTTATTTACTTCACAGACAAAACCAAGGAGGAGTGTTATTTGCCCATAACCCCATTTCCTCCTAATTAACAAAATGTAATTTAAAAATAAACTTCTTAAAATCATTGAAGTACTGGGCACCATAGTGCTTCTGCACATAGAATAATCAAGCAAGACACGGCTGGAGACTGAAGACTTTGTAGCAAATTCTCATTTCTTTCCTATTTTTTAAAATGGGAGGAGAAGTGGTACAAGAGGTAATGTTTATTGAAACAAAAATGTAGAAAGTAATTGAGAATGCTGTCCATCCTGGGTTAGTTTCCAGGCCCTCAGCTTGTAGAGTTTTCTGAACGTTCATTTGTTTCAGTCTCTTGAAATTCTCTGCTTCAGGATCAAGAAAATAGTTGTGATAGCTTAGGCCAAAAAAAAAAAATGAAGGAAAAACATTATTATATATTTACTGAGATGATAGTGTGGGGAAAACCTAAAAACACCTGAATTCCTTTACAGGTGGAAGATACATGAAGCTTGTATGCTTGCCCTGGGCTCTGTGAAGTCTATTATTACAGACAGTGTGAAGAATGGTCGGATACATTTTGATATGCACGGCTTCCTGACCAACGTCGTTCTTGCAGACCTCAACCTTTCAGGTACGTGGGCCCTGGCTATTATTCAAGTAACTGCTAAGTGCCTTGGAAATCTCTTACAAATGGAAGCATCGGATGAATCAGGTTGCTGTGTGCATGTGGTGGTGTGAGTGCAGTTGGGCACATTGTCCGTGTTGAAAAGGCCAACATTTTGTCTTCTGGATGCACACATGTTACAAAATCTAATGCAAGTCATTTAAATGTGAACCACTGTGCCTTCAGTTCAAACAGTTATCTGGATCCTTGAACCTGTCTGGCTTGGAGATGGAAGGGCAATTATGGAAAATATCTTGTTCAGCTTCTGGGAAAGACACCAGCAGTATTTAACAGGCTTAAGATTGCTACAGTGCCATAACAACCCATTTTCTTTAAGCTGAGGCTGATGCTAGTCATAGCAGATGAACTCAAGTAATATTTCTAGCTGAGTAGGATCTTATTAGTGGGAACTAGGCTTCTGGTTTCTATATTGTCATACATCAGCATGAAAAGTCAAAGGAGTTGTTGAAAATTGGACTTCTAAAGTCCTTGCAAATAAACAGTATTTGAGAAGTTCAGGTGAATATGAACAGTATTAGTGAGTCTACGTTAAGTTGGGTCAGTGCAGAAAAAAATAAATTGCTGGATGATCAAAGAAATATTTGTTCAGCTGATTACAAAGTATTTTTTTTTTCACAGCTGATTTTGATTGAAGAAATAGTTTGGAAAGTGTAAAGGATGTTTAAAAATAAAAAGACAGTAGCTGTTTACATCTATTTACCCACATCCACATTATGTAGCGTTGGTTGTAAATGAGCTATTGTGTTCTAGAAAGAGCTCCTGAAGTTGATACAGACAGTTCTCAGAGGAGAGTTCAGTGCTCAGTAATGGTAAATAAGACAAAGGAATCTTCTTTTTTATAATACCTGCTTAAAAAAGTTTTTCTCTTGCTGCACATTTTGCATGCAATTTTTGATGTCCTCGTATTAATATTTGCGGGATTATAATGGCAATAAAGGTGCTGTGGGATAGAGAATGCCATTTCTTTGAGGATAGCCTAAACAGATAAGAGTACTCTTAGCCTGAAAAGGCAGAAGAGTTAAGTATGATAAAGGTATCTCATACCTAGCTAAGTGTAGAACAAGGGAGCAGAGGATGACTCCACTCTTTCTCTGGTGCTGTTGAACGTTGCTCTGCAACTGTGAGGGGATGGCTGGAAACCAGAGAAGTAATCTATAGAAGAAAAACCACTTTTTACATGGACTGTTCTTCTAACTTCCCCATAGCTTCTGCAGTTTGCTTCTCTTGGTGACATAATATTGAGCTACTTTAGTAGGAATTACTAAAAAAGCCTTCGTTCTCTTCCTTCTGCTTTTGTTCTTTCTGGTGATCAGTAAGCATGTATTGCTGTACTGATGAACAAATTCAAGTGTATCTAGTTGAGAGAAGTAATTTTAAACAGAAGAGAAATTATTGTTTTAAGTAACTAAGAAAAAAAAAGGATTCTACCCATGAACAAAAATTATTTGCCTGAATACTGGTCTTCTGTGTCATAATTCAAATGCTCTGCTACCGGGGTGACAAGATTTTGGATAATGGATGGAAGCAGTTGCAATTTTAAACTTATTAAACTTAGTTTAAAACCACTGTTTTGTTTTTGTTTGGTTGGTTTTCTTTCAGTGTCTCCTTTTCTCTTGGGCCGTGCTCTTTGGGCTGCCAGCCGTTTCACAGTGGCCATGTCTCCAGAATTAATCCAGCAGTTCCTGCAAGCGACTGTCAGTGGTCTGCACGAAACCCAGCCGCCTTCTGTCCGAATCTCTGCAGTCAGAGCTATCTGGGGGTAAGCAAATGCAAAGAAACTCCAAAGCCCCAGGTGGTATAAATTACACTTCTAAATGTGGTACTTTAAAATACAACATTTTAAAAAATATGACATGGAATGAATATGAGATTAAAAGTGGAAATGAGCAGGTTCAAAGTAGACTAACTCTGATGAGGAATAAGAAGTTGAGATTCAAAGTTAGCTACAGGAAAATGTTACAATGGATACAGTCCCAAAGAGAAGCAGAACTAGGGAGTGATAACAACCATATAAATGAAATCCAGGTTAGTCCTATGCAGGCACAAAGATGGCTGAATAACATAATTTGTCCTTGTGGAGCAAATCAGGGCAATAAGGAAAGTTTGCTTTTTTCCATCCTCTTTTTGTAAAGAAGTTATAAAACCTCCTGCTCTACTGGTTCTAAAGCAAAAATTGAAAATTAGTTTTTAAAAACACACACACACGTAAACACACAGCCTTACCCCAAACCAACTCGCCTTCTATTTGCACTGAAATGACATGGATATTTCGTTATTGCTGAAATTGTTTCATCTTTCCTAGCTCGCTTGTAGAACATGGTAATTAAACACTGCGTAAGCAGTGACACTCTTGCAGAGTGGTTGGACCAGATGATCTTGGAGGGCTTTGCCAACTTGTACGATCCTGTGATTTTAAGGAAAAAGGATGGGTGGGGTGAAATATCCATTCATATATATATGACCCAGTGTTAAATGTATAAATCTCTTCAAATATCTTCTGCACGTTTTTATGTATCTTGCCTAGCTACTGTGACCAGCTGAAGATCTCTGAGAGCACCCACGTGTTGCAGCCTTTCCTTCCTAGCATTCTCGATGGACTGATCCACTTGGCAACTCAGTTCAGTTCAGAGGTCCTCAACCTTGTGATGGAGACGCTGTGCATTGTCTGTACGGTAGACCCAGCATTTACAGCAAGCGTGGAGAACAAAATCTGCCCCTTCACAATTGCAATCTTTTTGAAGTACAGCAACGGTATGCATTTAAATTACATTTTCAAAGTACGGTTGTTTTTGCTAATGGATCCTGGCCAGGATTATCACTGTGCTGAAAACATAATGAATCAATGTTCGTTCCATTATAATTTATATTGTAAAGCTAGAAGAGAAACTTTCTGCTATGCAGATTTGAAATAGCAGTAGCAAAAATTGAGATGTCTTTGTTAGTATGTTTTAGTAAATGGTGCTTTCTCTCTCCAGATCCAGTTGTTGCTTCTCTTGCCCAAGATATCTTTAAGGAGCTAGCTCAGATAGAAGCCTGCCAGGGTCCAATGCAGATGAGGCTAATACCAACTCTTGTCAGCATCATGCAGGCCCCTGCTGACAAGATCCCAGCAGGGCTTTGTGCAGTAAGTGCTCTAGTGGTTCCTGGTCTTAGCTGGAGATGATTCCCTGTTCTTTAACATTCAGGATGGTTGGTCTGCAGAGCAGGAAGGCTGCTTTTAAAGTGCTTTCGAACAATGACTTCAGTGCTTGGTAGAGGTTTCTTTGTGGAGAGAAGGCAAACTGCAGGTGGGGGGAGATGTTTCCAAAAGTAAACTGTTGCTATGGACTTATTCCAATCTCTGCAGCATATCCTGAGTTGTTTTGCTTTGCCATAGCCTTGTTTCACCAGTGACAGTCTTTCCTTTTTGGTGGAATATTCTCCAGCAGGATGTGTAACAATTCCCTACCTTTTTTTTTTCTGAGACCTTTTTTGATTTATACATGACTTGTATAAATTGCTGGAGATAAATTATACAGGTTTGTCACTTCTGTAAAAAGTCCACTTATAAAAGGTTAAGCACTGACCGTATAGAATAATTGTATGGAAGTAAGCCCATAAATACATTTATCATATGTTTATTATCTGCCTATTGAGTGGTATTACTGTAACAATCACTAGTAGGTAATTAAATCGATATGAGCAAAATTGATCAAGTTAGCTAGAAGAGTTCTCTGGCTGTACTGATCACTGTATATCAGCAGTGCTGACCGATGCTGACTCCACATACTGTGGCTTCTGTTGTAACAGTGCTTTTGTTTGTGTTTTCCTTTCAGACTTCTATTGATATATTGACCACAGTTGTGAGGAACACAAAACCTCCTCTGTCCCAGCTCCTGATCTGCCAAGCATTCCCTGCAGTGGCTCAGTGCAGCCTGAACACAGATGACAATGCTACCATGCAGGTAACACTGCAGGGAGTGGTAAGAACAGCAGGGCTAGGCGAGTTCAAGAGAGGTGACCAAATGAGACAGTTGGCAAAACCTTCAAGGGAGCCCAGGCTTTGCTTGCCCATGGCTATTTTGGCAGCTCCTCAGGAGCTGCCTACAATTTATCTGTAGGCCCCCACCTGCAGTTTGTCATTAAAGCATTGCTGTTTGGGTACTTGCAATGACTTTTACCAGTCATTCCTTAATTTGGAAGATCAGAGTGAGTAGAGCAGCAGGCTTGATTTTTTTTATCCTATTTCAGGGCTCTGGAGGAGCCCTAAAACTTAGAAAACCTACTGCTTTTCACATTCCTTCGTAATAACATTCATGACAGCTAGGAATGGCAGAGGCAGTCTGCAGGAACACTCTCAGGCATGGGGAAGCAAAAGACCTTCTTCTACACCTTGCTTCTAGCAGTTTTCTCCTGTGCTCACGTAGTTGGAAAAAGATGGGAAGGAGAGGGCAAACTTATTCTTGGTTGAGCCACTTATTGAATGGAGGGATAGCAAAGATTCATCTCACAGTGGTAGTGCTTACCTGAGCTGTGCTTGTTGGCAGGCTCTGCTGTTACCTGGTGGTGGCTTTAGGGTATTTAAGCAAGCAGGAAAAAAAAAAACAACTTCTGAAGCTAAAAGTGCAGAGTGCCTTCTCGTTCTGTCTACTAGCTGGCTTCTAAATAACAAAGATAATTTCGTTTCCTTACACAGGGATTTTTTAGTGCAAGATCCCCTTTGTCATGTGAACATGGACCATTGAAATGGCTTTCCATAAATAACATACCAGCAAGAATAGATTAGAGACCAACAAGAAGAAGGTGGAGACCAGTGTACTGGTTGCTGTGCTGGATCTTCATTTTGAGAAGATTTTTTTAAAATTGCAGCTTGGCTGCTGGTTTGTTTTGTTCATGCTATACTTTGTTGTCTTCATCTCTCACTTGTTAGAATCTCTTGGAATTTCTCTGAGTAACAAAAGCAACACAAACATAACTATTTCAGGTTGACTTTGTATTTGCTAGGTGATCCTCTTGATGTTTGGGTAGGTGAAGAGTGTCTGTCTTCATAATGAACGGAAATATTTTGAAATATTTTTAAAATAATTTTGAAATACAGGCAGCCATTTTATTGTATACAAGAGACTTTGAATCTTTCACAGTGCCACCAGTTTGCCCATTGTTGTCATCTTGGCTAAGGGGTTTTGGGGAGTGGTTAAAGGAGATGTCTTCCCATGTTGATCTTCCACACAGCTAGGAAGGCAAATCCTAACACGATCACTTTCTTGTTTAGAACGGCGGCGAGTGTCTGCGTGCGTACGTCTCGGTGGCGCTGGAGCAAATTGCGCAGTGGCATGATGAGCAAGGCCACAATGGGTTGTGGTATGTGATGCAGGTGGTGAGCCAGCTTCTAGATCCAAGGACGTCAGAATTCACTGCTGCCTTTGTGGGCAGGCTGGTCTCCACTTTAATTTCCAAAGCAGGAAGTGAGCTGGGAGAGAACCTGGACCAGATCCTGAGAGCTATCCTGAGCAAAATGCAGCAAGCGGAGACGCTCAGTGTAATGCAGGTGAGCAGGCCAGGCACACAGGAAAATAATTAGAAGTGAAGGAGGAAAAAATAATCAGATTTTTTCTTTAGTTGTGTATCTGATTATTTATGGTAGTGCAATTGGAGGTTCTGCACATCCCCTGAAGCAGTCAGGGAAATGCCTGCTTTATCCATACAGAGTTGTCCGGATTACTTGGTAAGTTGGGTTCTTGTTGGGTAAGCTTTAATGCACCTTAAATAGTCTCTCATGACCTTGTGCTTGCAAGCAGCGAACCTTTAGAAGAAATCTTTAGAACTTGAATAGAGATATTGTGGCAAAGGCATGTTTTCATGTGTTTCTGTGGTTTTTTCCTAGGATGAATGAATATCTTGGAGTTGAGACAAGGTGAACTTTTGGTGACAGGAGGTGTAGTTGGCCTGCATCAGGCCAGACAAGAGCCTCACAATCACTTCTAGGCTTGATTTACTTTTAGTCACATGGTTTTATAGAACATTTTTATGCCCGTAGTCTTTATTCTTCATCCTGTCTTTCTTGTCTGTGCCCTTAATGTGGAACATCAAGTGATGCCTGCCCTGATTTCCAAGCCGCAGCTGTGGGAAGGCAATTTGCTGGCCCTGTTGCAAGGTCCCGTTGTTTGGCAAGATCCCACCTTTGCCCTCAGTGAAGCACTTGGCTGAGGCTCATCTGCTCTAACCCTTTCATCTTGGGCACATTTCTGATTTTTAGATGTGCATTTTTCAAGCCAGCACATGGCAAAGCAGGAAGGTCATTCAGATGTCAGCACAGATTTTATCTTAAAGCCTTGATTTTTTTTTTCCCCCCTGGGAAACATTGTTTGTTCATAACTGTTCAGAACCTTTCTAAACCTTGCAGTTCTATCCCAAAAACTTGTGTTCAAAGTGCATTCAAAATAGGAGTGTCTCTGCATTCTGATGATGTGAGAGAAAGGTGGTCTGTGAGGATGGGGTACCATGGGTGAAAGGGGAAGAACCTGTGGGTTCTGGCTGTGGATCTTAGCTTGATGTTGTGACATTTGTGTTATCCATGCATAGATCTTGAGCTCTGTGTGTACAGGACCACGTGTGCAGCATGTGGTCCAGCGAGCAGACCAGGGCACCTGCAGTATCTGCGTGTTGGCTTGTGATATTTTGCTAGTCAGAAGCCTGCCACCTCCAATTTTTTATTTTTATTTTTTAAGTTGTTAATCCTTGCTTTAGGAAGGTTTGCTGGTTGAGGGCACGAGTAAATTCATTCCTGTAGTGTGTTTTGTGGAGTTAAATATCGCTGCTGCTGGTAATAGCATTCTTGCCTGCTTTGCAGCACACATCTGCGTTCCTCGCAGCTGGTTGTACTTCCTTTACCTCTCGGGGCTGGTGAGCACGGTCTCCATTCCTGCAGGGCACTCAGTTACTTGAATATTTGATAAAACCATTTTCAGCTGTTAAATTATGTACAGCTAATGTTTCCCCTTTTCCCTTGCAGTCCTTAATTATGGTGTTTGCTCACTTGGTTCACTCCCAACTGGAACCTCTCCTGGAGTTCCTGTGCAGTCTCCCCGGACCGACCGGCAAGCCTGCCTTGGAGTTTGTGATGGCCGAATGGATGAGCCGGCAGCACTTGTTCTACGGGCAGTACGAAGGCAAAGTCAGGTAGGGCGTTTTGTAAGGATCCATGCACTGACATTAGCTTAGTGATCATCCCACTGCAGTGATGCTCTCGGGGTGAGGGAAAGGGGAGCTGCTGCAGGCTCGGATTCATGTGCAGGCATAGGACAGGAGGTAATTTTTTCGTGCCCTGTCAGTTTGGCTCTGGAGAGCTGCAGTAACTGGAGCAATCCCTGCTCTTCCTCTGAGTGCTTCTCTCGCTGCCTCGTGTTTCTGTACAGGAACAGCGTGATCCCAACGGGAAGGGGGTGGCTGTTGCAAGCACAGGACTGCTTTTAATGTTGAACTCGTGTGAATGGGATGAGAATAGTTTCAGGCCATGAAATCCCCTTTGTAGACCATGGTAGAGGCTCAGGGTATTGTAGAGGGTTTCCTAAAATAATCTGGTGATTTAATGAGCTCTTAAAAAGTCAATAAAGAAACTGCAACACAGTTTTCTCTCCCTTTCCCTGCAGGAGCACACTTGTGTTCCAGTGGAGGCCGAGTACAATATTCCAAAGCACAAAATGCTTGGTATTTAAATTTTGCCACAGCTGATGCCTTTGACTTTGTGGAAGTGAGAAGCCCAACAGAACACTGTTAGGGGGTCATTCCAGCTGCCAGCTCACATCTTGCTATGTGCTGGAGTGTCATTGTTACAAGGCAGCCCAATAGACTGTGGCATAAGCAATAAGAAAAAGCATCTTTAAAATATAAGTGTTCATTCTGTTTTCAATCACGTGTAGTCTGTTTTGTCCCTAAGAGCTATGGTTTATCCCCACTCTGAAGGAGAGCAGGGCTGGGCTGTCTGCAGGGTTCTCTGGAGCTGCTTTTGGCCGTGGGGAAAAGCCAAAGGTGAAGCTGACAGGGAGAACGAGGTTAAACTCTGTTGTACAATGCTGTATTGTCCGAGGTTAGAGCCATTTGTGTCCGGATGATTTGGCAGGTCTGTGCACTGTATTAAACCCTGATTTGGTGTTATTTACAGTGGAGCTCCTGATGCATTAGAAAATGGTAGGTGTTTTCTGAGTAATGAAGAAAAGAAGTTCCTCCTGCAGGGGACCCTGCAAAGCGAAGTTAGTGAAAGGAAAATAGGAATAGCTTACACTGTATAAACCTGGGTGCATCAGTCCCTATCCCTGAGAGTGGTGGGTTGAAGAAGTGGCCATTTGCTCTAACTTGTATTTTAAAAAAAAAAAAAGATGGGAAAACACTGGGCAAGTCAGAGGTGGCGTGTAAGGTCTGAGTCCAAACCAGCTGTGTAGGAAGTTGGAGCCATGGTGTGGGGAGAGAAAAAGGGTGTGAAGTGAGAGCATGAAGAGAACAAGTTATGCAGAGCTCTGAAACGTCAGTGTGGAGCCAAGAGAGGTTTGAGAGTGCTGGGTGTAGAAATTGGCAGCCTTAGCCTGTGGTCAAATATCCTTAATATGGCTTGAAAACAGCCTGGGACTGGAGAAGGTTTGAAAGCAGCTGTAGGTCTGGAGCAGAAATCTGAGCAGCAGAGGTGGAAAGGATGTGTGAGGGTACTGAGGGAGCAGAACTGGGAGGTTTGGGAGTAGCTGAGCTGCGAAGGACCAGAAGTATTAAGGGCTTTGAGACTAGAAAAGAGCAACAGAGATGTTTGTAGCTGTGGATCAGTGAAATGAATACTTGTTGCCAACATGATTACCTCTTAATTCATTCTTCATGTGCAGGCAGTGTTTCAGGGGTGTGCTTAACCTCGTGGCCATTCTGAACTGAAAAAAATTTGTATGTGTGTATGCACTGCTTGGCAGGGTTTAATCCAAAGCTTTGTTAGGCTTTGGCTTGCTGTGCAGGTCAGGAGGTGAGTCCAGTTTTGGATACTGACAAAAAGCAGGACAAATAGGAAAATTCTGTAATGCTTATTCTTGGTGAAAACGTGGAAAAAGGGACAGCTGAATGCCTGCTCTGGAGATTTGTTTCCTATCAACGGTTCTCTGTATAAGCCAGGTAGTTCTGAGAAATTCTGATCGGTAATTTTCTTATTCCCTACTCCCTAGCTCTGTAGCACTGTGTAAACTCCTTCAGTATGGCATCAACACAGATGACAAGCGACTTCAGGACATTAGGGTAAAGGGAGAAGAAATATTTAATATGGATGAGGGAATACGGACACGATCAAAATCAGCCAAAAGTAAGTAATTACTCTGCTGTTCTTAACAGTCTGTTTTTTTTTTTGTTTTTTTTAATGTTAGTGGAGGCTACGAATGGCCTTAAAATAGATCTTCAAGGTCACGCAGAGCTGTGGGAGATTTGTTTTTAGAACTAATCCATACATCAGGTGCTTAATGTATCTAGTACTTGAGAGACTGATCTGGAAAACTCCTGCTGTTTCTGACTTTATCTAAGGGGCTGAGGTGATTATGGGATGGGGAGTTATTCGCTGCTGTTCCACATCATCCTGTTCCGTCTAATGAGATAAACTGATAATATCCTGATGCTTAGTAGCTTCTCTCAGAGGAAAACTTGTTTAGTAAACATAAAGATTAAACAAACAAACAAAAAAGTGATATTTTTTCGTGAGACAAACTAACAAATATTTGCAGTGATGTCAACAAGTTAGAGACCACTTTTTAGGACATCTTGACCAGTGTCTTGCGTAAGACTTGTCCTACTGAATTGGTTGCGCCCAAGATCTTTGATCAGAGGTTACTGTTTAGAGAAAGATTTGTCTGTGAGCATTTTAAACGTACAGTAAAATTAAAAACAACAAAAAGCAACACAACATCAACAAAAAAGGCTTTTTTTTTTTTAACTTATTAAAAGCGGTGAGAATGTGTAGTTTTCTTCTCTTATAGATCCCGAACGCTGGACAAACATTCCTTTGTTAGTAAAAATCTTAAAATTAATAATAAATGAACTTTCTAACGCAATGGAAGCAAATGCATCACGACAGACAACCGCAGATTGGAGTCAAGGTAAAACATGGGGTTGGTTTTCCTCTTTGCATGGCTTAAATCTGCTTCAGAAGTATTTGCAGTAATAAGAAGCTGACAATAGTAAATATTATACCTGTAATTACAAAGGTTTAAATAGTAATCCAAAAGATAAGATTAGTCACTATTGTGTATTCTTATACCTGGAAATTACCTTGGGTCACTTTATCTGGAAGATGGGATCTGACCATATCCCACTAAAATTATCCTAGCTTGGTATATCCAGTTTTCTTTTCTTCCTCCCTGTTTGGGGATACATTCTTGCTTCTGCTTTTTGCTTAGCTCCAATTCTTGAGTCAGTCATTCCAAGGAGATGACAGTGGTTGCAGCTTTTTCCCTTTGCCCATCTACTAAAGCAGGGATGTTTGCCTAAAACCTATACAGTCCCTGTATAATGACTGATAGACCGGGCGCCTTGTATTTTGTTTATTTCTAGGTTTATTTTTTTTTTAAACAGATGATTCAAATGATATGTGGGAGGATCAGGAAGAAGATGAGGATGAAGATGAAGGCTTAGCAGGACAGTTCTTATCAGATATTCTGTCCACAAACAAGTATGGTAAGTAACAACTTCAAGGTCATTACTTCCAGATTAAAAAAGAGTTGCTGATGTTCTATTTAGTTTTCTTTCCTTGATAGCAGGCAAGGGGAAGGAGATGCACTGGGACTTTGAATAAAGTGGATTTTTTTTTTCCTGTGTGAGAGGGACATGTCTTTGAAGAACACACTGATTAAATGACTATTTTTCACATGAGAGTTTGGATGCTGTGTAGGCTTTGCATTGCTGTGAGGTTCGTGCAGGTGTTTCTTTCAGAAGAGAGTATTGTTGCTCAAAGATGGAGAAGTAGATTGGTGATGGAGATGGAACAACAGTGTCATAGCAGTGGGTGAACTTGCCTGTGGAGTGATCTTGAGAAATAATTGCGGCATAAAGCAGACAGAGCGTGTATAGTATCTCCTTTCTTCTCCTCCCCAGTTTGCGTATAGTCTTAGGGGAGAACCTTACAGGCTGATACAGTAAGGGAGACTTCTTACATTAGCACAGAACTGGAAATGTGTCACCCTGGCATAAGATCAAGGCGTAAGATTAAAAGTGCACGTAACTAACAAACTTGCTTGTCTGGTATCTTGTGTATGCTCATCTCACCTCTGCATTCCCTGAGAATCCCGCTGCGACCCTTCTTGTTCTGGGACGTATTTTTTTTTTTTCTAACCATGTGAACTTAAGAAGCAAATATTCTGGATACAAAATTGTTGATGGAGCAGTGCCGAAGCTATTTCTTTGTGGATCTTTGGATTTCAATGGTAGTCCAATAGAACACCCTGAGATACTTTGCTCTGTTTGTTGTTAAAACCTGCTGATTTGCCTCTGACAGATGAGGATTACTATGAAGATGATGAAGAGGATGATCCAGATGCGTTAAAGGACCCTCTTTACCAAATAGATCTCCAGGTGATGCTCTAGAATTATTATTATTTTTAAATCAGATTCCTGTCATTCCTTGTGAATTTATTTATTTTTATGTTGTACTCTAACAAAAAACTGCAAGACACCACCGGAAACACCAATTAATGATGATTGTCCCAAATGTACTCAGTTCTTTGAGATCGCTTTGGAAAGTGCCAAGTATCCAAACAATGCCTGGAGCTATTTTTTCATATCATATCTATAACTTGGAAAAGGAAGTGAGCAAAACTTCTTTAATAGAGGGAGATGGGACTTTTCTACCCATGAGCTTCACAGCTATTTCCTAAAAAGTAGATTGGATGTTACAGAGTCATATTCCCCTTGGAGATGCTCCCATCCAGTCACAGGCCCTGTGCCATACTTTGCTCCTGCTTTTAGCACCACCTGGAAGCTGTTTGTCAGCCTTTCCCCTCTGCCACCTCTCTCTCTTCTGCATCACTTCTCTGTTCCCTGCAGTCCCCTTGTCGTGTTGGGTGCGGGTTCGCGTTTACCTTTGGGTGCTTGAAAGAAGCAGAATTTGTGAAGTGAAGTGATGCTAACTGGATCTTTCTGTCTCCCTTTCAGGCCTATCTCACTGACTTCCTGTGTCAGTTTGCACAGCAGCCCTGCTATGCAATGTTTTCAGACCATCTCAATGAGAACGAAAAGCGAGTGTTACAGGCCATTGGTATATAACCCCGCTCAAGAGACCATACCGATCATATCTGAACCATACTTTTTGGCTTATTCCACGTTTTATGATTAAACATAAAACATTTTCCAGTGTCTACCTGCTTGTTACAGGTGGATGATGGGCCTCATTGCGACGTGTTGAGCCTCATCTTAACGAATCTGCTAAGGGAAGGAATACTAAGAAAGCAGCAAAGACGGAAGTCTATAGAGCTTTGCACGTTGGTCTCACCATGGGAGCACTTTCATTTTCCACAGTAACTTTCCAGGAAGTTCTTTAAAAAAAAAAAAAAGTTAAAAATGTGTCCTTAATATTTTTAAAAGCAAACTGTCTCTACCTGTGAAGAGGCACTTAACTGAGTTTCACACAGCACAGCTGGACAGAGAAAGGAATTGGGTCACTTACAGATTGCTTGGATGTATCTTGAGAAATTGGAAGGTTGTTCCTCTTCGCACTCGCATAACACATACAGGGTAAATATCTCGATCTTAGTGTGACTTCTTTTTATAGAACTATAGACTCTTATCAGAGATGCCTGAATGGTATGGAACCAGTTTACAGGAGTTTGGATGGGAAGCTGAGACAATAAAAGTAGATGCATATCTTCTTTCCTGCTGTGGATGGGGCTTTGTTGCTCACATCTACTGTCTAGTCCCATGGGAGCAGTTCTTTACTAACGCTTTTGTGTGCACATGCTCAAAGGAAGCTACCACTTAAATTTCTGTTCCTGTGGCATGTGGCTACTAAAGACTTTGGTTTTATGGAACACAAGGAGCCACGATTTTTAGGGCAAGAAAACTGATTGTATTTAAGATATTTGCTCCATGACAGCCACTCTGAACTACTTTGCTTCCTTCACACTCCTGTGTGTATTTTTATAGAGTGGTAAAATAACATTTGCAAATTGATTTACCCATAAGAACAGCGTGATGTATCTCACAACACCTCTCTGCCTTTGGTTCCCTCTTGGGGAAAATGAAAATAAAACTATTAAAATGTACATTGGTATCCTTCTTATAAAACAGATTTAAAAGGAAATTGCACATGTTTCCTGAAGTCACTTTTTAAAGACATATTTCTCCTTAGAAAACTTTCTGTATGTGCCGCCTGGAGGATGTTAGGGTATTTCACAGGAGTAATCTAAAACAGAAAGGGAGTCCTGTAATGGATACATCTTCTTCTGCTTTAAAGAAAAAGGCTGACCCATTATAGAGTTTCCTTTCTTAAGAAAGGTACTTGCTGTTCCTTTGTGGAATAATATGCTTTGAAGTTGTATCTGAAAACCTCCAAAGAGATGGAGTAATTATGTATCTTACTGGTCTAGTTTAGAATATAGCTTTTCACATTTTTTACCAGGAGGGGATAATAAATTAACTTCTTAACAGACAAAGATGGCACAACCTGTTTAGCATCTGTGGCAAAATAACCCCAAATTGTAAAGCGGACATTGCTCCCTTCTCCCACTCAGATCCCTCTTGTTGTGCCTGAGAATAGGCAGAAATAGAGGGAATTGCCACAGTTTGCTGCAGACCTGCAGGTCTGGCTCAAGCTTGAGTCCTCAATATTTTTTTGTATGAATAGCTCTATGAGAAGGAGATTCTGAGGCTAATTTTTGTGTGCGTGTGTGGCTTTGTCCTCTTTAGCCTGTGTCTAATAAGGTGTAAGCTCTGATCAAAAATTTCCAAGCAGTTGTGTTGCAGTATCTTTCTTCCCTGTGGATTCTCTGGTGTATAAGGATATGCAATTAAACTTTGTGCTATGGCCTTCCCTTTGCTGGGAATGTTGTGGCTCTGTCTTCTACTTAAATATACTTTTAAAGTCAATTAGGAACTTCGTTTGAGACGTTTGTGTGTCTCATAGCTTTCACTGAAAGGGGCCAACACATTAATTTAAACAGTCTCTTAAGGAAACCCAAGTGGACGTAGATGGCTGCATTGATATATCCTGATAGCTGGTGGGAAAGATCAAGCGAGTGTCCTCAGAGTGACTGGTCCCAGCCCTGGGAACAGGTAGGACCATCTAGTAGTTGACATTCCGCCCTGCACACCAGAATGAGCCCGTGCTGCATCAAAACTAGTCAGCAGAGCAGAGGTGAAGACAAAATCTAAACTCCATTTCAAGTCATAGAATGAAAAAGCTACAGTTTGGCCCATACATTGACAGGAGGGCTCGTAACAGTCATCTATCCATGCTTTGAGGTAAGTGAATACCAAATGTTTGAAAGCATTGGGGTGTGTCTTAGGATGTCAGTGGGAAATGGGTCTTGTTCAGGTCTGGGGAGAGGTGCTGGTGGTGTTCGTGTGCTTTCGGGTGATGTTGCTGGGTGTGTGCATTGGTGATGCTGGCTACAGTCATCAGGCACGTTATGTTGGGTGGCAGGTTTAGGAAAGGCTCTGAAAAATGGGAGCAGGCTTGTGTGACTGATACCATCCCTCAGCCTTGAACTGAGGAATCCAAGGATTTCGTGGTGATTGCAAGCTCCCAGGAGTTAAACGATGAGAAGTGTCTTGTACAGGTCCTGCTAGAGCTCCTGAGTGTTGGTTCGAAGCTGCTCTTTGATTTGCAGATGTTGATCTGCCTGTAGCATTGGCTCACATGCACGCAGCCTGAGCAGGCACGGTGCCACCATACAGGAGCTCTGATGAGCTCTGGGGCTGGAGACCAAGCTTGGAGGTGGTCCCGTGCCCATCTGTGCATGGTGGGCACAGGGATGGCATAGCTCCACAGCATGCTGTGGCGTGCAGGATGCTTATTTTGGCAAGAAGTACTGCCTTGAGCTTTTCACAGAGAGGCCAAATGGGGTGTGCGAGTACACAGTGCTCGGCAGAGGGTTTGAAGGAACCCTCTGTGGTCCCATACACCTTCGTCCTGCTTTCCCCGTGTTCTCTTTTCTCCTAACAAAACTCCACGGTGTATCTTCACCCACAAAGTGCTTGCTGGAGGTTGGCGGCTTTGAAGCCTGAGCGCCTCGAGGAGGCTGCTCGGGCCGAACGATGCCGGCTGCTGTGGAAATGCTTCTGAGGCCTGGTGTGGAGGTGTGCAACACCCATCGGATCCGTTGTGTGTTGTTGGGAAGGAGCTAAACCCATCGGCACCAAAGGTTAGGGAGGCTGTGCTAGGAGCTATGTGGGGTAAAACGAAGGACGGGGCCGCGGCTGCCCCAGCTCGGCCGCCAGCCTCTGGCTGGGCTTTGCACGCTGGCTTTTATTTAACTAGAGTAACAAAGCTCCGGTAGCCGCAGAAAATGATTTAAATAGTAAATAGATCAGGCATGACTCTGGAATGAGACTTTATGCGTACTGATGAGTATTGTTCTTGGTATTTTTTTTTGTTGTATCAACGAATAAAAGCTGTTCCTGTATAACCCTGCCTCGCTTCTGCTTGTACAGGGAGCGGGGCCCCGCCACCAGGGGGCAGCTGGGGCCTGGGGCTGCTGCTGGGGGCGGCTGGGCTCGGCCCCGACCCCAACCCCGACCCTGACGCCCCCGGGGCCCGGCCCCATCTTGTGGCCACCGCCCGGGGCCGCGGGGCCTCTGCCCGCCCCCTGCGCTGCCGCCGGGCCCGGGACTCGAACCCGCGACCTTCGGTGCCGCAGCGCCGCAAGCTGCCTCCCCCCCTCCCTCACGGAGCGGGGCATGCTGGGGGCTGTAGTCCCGCGGTGGCCCCGCTGCCGAGCCGTGAGTGGGAGCCGCGGGGCACGCCGGGAGTTGTAGTCCAGCAGGGAGGCCCCGCCGGTTGCCACGGGCCATGGCGGCGGCGGGGGCCCCGGCGGGTGTCGCGGGGCGCTCGAAGGTGGCTCCGAGCGTGGACTTCGACCACAGCTGCTCGGACAGCGTGGAGTACCTCACCCTCAACTTCGGGCCCTTCGAGACCGTGCACCGCTGGCGCCGCCTCCCGCCCTGCGACGAGTTTGTGGGGGCCCGGTGAGCGGCGGGGGGCGGCGGGCGGGGGGTGGGGGGGGGTCGGGGTTGGGGTCCCTGTCCCTGTCCCTGTCCCTGACCGCTGCTCCCCGCTGCCCGCAGGCGCAGCAAGCACACCGTGGTGGCCTACCGGGACGCCATCTACGTCTTCGGAGGGGATAACGGGTGAGAGAGTGGGGGGGGGGGTGAGGGGAGGGGGCCTGGGTCTGAGGGGAAGGGGCTTGGGGGGTCCTGACCTGAGGGGAAGAGGCTTGGAGGGTCCTGACCTGAGGGGCGGGGGTTTGGGGGACTTGGGTCTGAGGGGAAGAGGTTTGAGGGGTCCTGGCCTGGGGAGGAAAAGGAAAGGGTTTGGGGGGTCCTGGCCTGAGGGGAAAGGGTTTGGGGGTCGGGGTCCTGCCCCAAGCAGAGCTGTAGCATGCTGAGTTCCTTCCTCCCTGGTTCCTTCCCACAGGAAGACGATGCTGAACGACCTGCTGCGCTTCGATGTGAAGGACTGCTCATGGTGCAGGTGGGTCGCCCTGCACAGCTGCCTGCAGGGGTGTGGACGTCTTGCTTTCTCTGTATCCCTGGTCTGGGTGTAAAAAGCTGGAGCCCTGCACAGATCATCCAGGAGGAAGCATCTTCCCTCCGCCCCGATGCGGCTGCAGTTGGGCCTTCGCAAGCCCCTTGGTCTGGTGTGTGGCAGAGCCTTCAGGGAGGCTGTCAGATGCATCCAGCTCCTGCCGGGGGATGCTGGGCAGCACAGCGGTGCTTGGAGCTGTGGGCTGGCACCGTTCGTGCAGTCTGAGAGTGCCCGAAGGGCACGTGGGCAGAAGGACTGGGCTGCTGCAGCCCCTGGGCAAGGAGAGGTGCAGAGGGGGGCTCATGGATGCCTTTGCTTTGCTCCCTCATTCTGGACTGTGCCATCTGTGTTGTCGTACCTGTGCCTTACTTGATATCTCCACTGAACAGATTTCATATTTGTTGTGCTGTCTCTGCTTGCGGTACTTAGCCTGTTGTGAGATCCTAGCTAATATAACTTAAGAAACCAAAACCGGTGAAAATAGTCAAGAACAGTAGGTTAACTTTTAACAGTTACATTTCCTGTTGAGTCTGCATAATATCTTTGAGTGCTTCAAGCATGACAAGGGTGTTTGATTGCTGCTGTTCTAAATGTTGTGCAGGGCTTTTACCACGGGGACCCCGCCAGCACCACGGTATCACCACTCAGCTGTGGTCTATGGGAGCAGCATGTTTGTGTTTGGTAAGACAGTGGCAGATTACAGTTATGCATGTTTGGAATGATAAATATGTTGGTATTTAAAAAAAAGATATTTTTAGGAAGCCTCAAAGGATGTTATTCAGTAGAAAACCTAGAATTTTTCCACGGCTGGCTGTGATTTCACCTTTAGCTTTGAAATACTTTTGCTTCTTTGTCTAAAGCAATGAAAACTTGAAGCTCATTGCCATGGTGTATCTGTAGGGCTAAGAGTGAAGGAGAAATCTCCCATCTGTAGTAGTCCAGTAATTAAATAGCTTCTCTCTGTGTTGTCTAAACTTAAATTTTCTTCTTATGTACTGACTCTAAGCATATGTGCTGTATTGGGTTTGAGTCTAATGGAATTGTTGTTGCTCAGGTGGCTATACTGGAGATATTTATTCCAATTCCAATTTGAAGAATAAAAATGATCTCTTTGAATATAAGTTTGCAACTGGACAATGGACAGAGTGGAAGACTGAAGGAAGGTAAGGAAGTAACATTATTGTCTCACCTTTCACGATTCTGAGCATCACTCAGCAACCATTTAAATGGCACACAGAATTAGTTACAATGTTAATATTAATGCTATAAGACTGTTTCTGATACGCTTTCTTAATTAAAGTTTCTTGAAGACTTCATCTTCTGTTCTGAAGGCCTACATTCCAGAGTGTACAAGATTGGAAATTTGACAAAACCGTTCTTCACGTTTCATTTCTGGGTCAGAAGGGATGGGAGCAAAGGAAATGATTTCTTTTAAATTCTCTTTTTAATGGATAGCATGATATTTGTTGATTCCATATGGTTTCGATTTATTTTAGTTATAAAACAAATCGAAGCTTATTTGTAGTTAAATGTACACATTCCTTTCTTATTAAAATTTGACTTTCCTGGAGCATACTTACTTGAAGTGCATTAGGGTGATGCGTGTTCACACAAACAAATTCAGAAGCAGATGAATGAGTTGATGTGTGTTTGCATCTGTTGGATGGAGGTTCCCAAGATACAATTTTCCAAGGGAAAACTAAATACAGTAACTCCTTAGTTCTTCAAGTTGGCTATGCACATTTCAGGTTGTTTCATGGCTCTAGTGTAACTACAGAAATGGATGAGGAACACGCAGTCATTTCTTGAGTTACTGTTGCTCACTGCTCATGAGTGTGTGTTACATTTTAGAAGGTAGACTACATTAGTAACTTCTCTTTCTGGTTCTTCTAGCAACTTCGGACATTTCAGAGAGTAATTCTTATTTATATTTTATGAACTCAAATGTCCTTCTCTTTCCCCACAGCTGAAGTTGGCAGATTTAGTAAAAGCAATTCAAATTAGGAAGGAGAAATCATATGACTGATCTTTTATTATGGCCTCTGTATTTCAGGAACGCCCGTGCTGTGCTTTCCCCAGTAGTCTTTTGAACCCTGTCCATGATTTCACTTATGTGTTCCATCCTCTTAGTGCATGAAAACCTGCATGGGGTTTTTATAACATTTGTAGTTTTCCACTTTGCTATAATGATAGTGCTATTAATCGTCCCACTGCCTTCCTACCTTAGATAAAATACTTCAGAGTATTTGGAGCATAACAAGCAATTTGTTGGTTTATTTTTTTCCCCTGTATGTGTTC